AGTAGATTATCAACTACTGATTTATTGCTTTTAATATGATGAAACACCAGATGTGACAGCTAAATTAGCAGTAGGATACAAGGACATTTTTATCTTTAATCATTTTTGTAGAGTAGGGCTTGTATACATCCATGTAAAAAGAGACTGTAGCAGATGCCACCTAGAATCAACCAGTTCTTGTAAACATTGCATTTGTGCAGATTTTCATACTTTGATTCTAATATTAAGAACAATAAGATTAAAGGCAAATTTAGTAGCAAAAAAACAAAGTCCAGTTTGACTTCTTACAACATATGGTACCACTCCTCTCTTCAGAAAAAAGAACCAAAACAAAAAAATCTAGCAGCGCATAAAAAAAATTTTTACAAAACATTTCAGTACTCTTTTCCCCTCCCATCAAAAACCGAACAAAAATAAAGTGCAGCACCCATAAAAGTGTCAAGAAAATAGCCAAGTTCTTCCTTTTTTATAACAAAATAGTACTTGGCTCAGCAGTCTTAACCAAGTTATACAGTGTCCATCATTTTGGATTCATCATCTTCTTTATGTACCACTGAGTTTAAACTGCAGAGAGCTGTATTGATAGAATACTGAAGATAATCTGGATTCTGAAAAGAAAAGTATAGAGAAGAAACAATGGATGATAACTAGTTTATGCCAGTATATGCACATACATATTCAGCTTCACATTCTGTTTTTCTCTGCAGGGTAGGAGAGTGGGCAAGAAGATAGACTTTGAAGTCAGACTTAGGTTGAAACCCAAGATAAAGAAAAATAGACTATTACCACTTAACCCAAAGAGATGTGAAAAGGACAAAAAGATGTATGTGAAAAATACAAATGTAAAAAATACTTTTTTTCTTTTAATAAAACTATGTAACTTTAATTATTTAATTATACAAGGCTACATCTTCCTTGTAATTATATGTAGCTATTGAAAATTTAAAATATAAATGGCTTTAAATCAGAAATGTATTTTGAAGATTATTACTAATTAGAACAGTAAATACTAAAAGTACAACACTTGAATTAGGAAAACCTATATACTGAGTAAAAATTATAGCTATCTTTAGAGTTTAATTTGGTTTTTCAAAGGTTAAAACAAACTCAAGTGAGAAATCTTTACTCCTCTGAAAAGTACTCAGACCTGTATTTTAAAAACTGAGTGTAAAAGAAGAGTTTAATTTAGATTTTAGTTATTTTGTAAACACAATAACAACTCATAAATATTCTATTTGTCCATTTCTAAAACTAGGAACAGAAAACCTTATTCATTGAATGCAAAAATGAAACCACTGAGTGTTAAAGCACTATGATGTAGGAGTTTAGATAATTCTTCCCCAAGAATTTGATTTTCTTTACTCAATTGTTCTGAATATCTGCCAGCAACTTAAGAGTTTTGCTACCTATCACCTAGTTTCTTTGATTTCATTTAATAAACACCAGCAAGGAAAATAGTCCAAATAGGGGATAGATGTCTCAAACCTCCCTAAATAAAAATACAATACTTTGCCCTAGTTGGTCTGGCTCAATGGACAGTGTCAGCCTGCGGAATGAAGGGTCGGTCCTGTGTTTGACACTGGTCAAGGGCACATGAGAGGGTTGCGGGCTCGATCCCCAGTAGGGGGCATGCAGGAGGCAGCCTATCAATGATTCTCTCTCATCACTGATGTTTCCATTTCTCTCTCCTTCTCCCTTCCTCTTTGAAATCAATAAAAATACATGTTAAAAACTACATATATAATAATTTGTGATTTAAAAAAAATTTTTTTTTTTACTTTAAAAGTAAAAACGCTAGCCAGAAATTGGATTATACTCAATCAGGTCTATATGAAGGAAATGGCCCTAATAACTGACCGAGGTGTGGAACACTAAACATTGGACCCCAGCTTTGCCTCTACCACTTAATATAATGCAAACCTCAGAGAGAAGATAATTTATCACAACTTAATAGAATTAAAAGCTAGCATATAGGATAAGACTAATACTAATTATTACATATGTCTTTATCAAGAAGCCTTATTTTAGTTTTCTCAAATAAAAATTTGGCTTATTTCTCAACATTGTTGTCAATCTAAAAAATGAAATTAAAAGCTAAAATGTTACCCAAATTTAAATTATATAAAAATTATTAATACTTGCATTACATTATCCCATTCTCTACAGAAATAGAATGCTAAGATTCAATTCCAAAGTTCTTCAGAACAAAAGTCTCTATTAAGACCAGGCTCCAGTTTTCCTTGAGAGTTGGCTGAGAAGATTCTCCAGAATTCCTCTAACCCATCTTTCTAAGAACTGCACGACATCATCATGAAGAGACTTAAATACACCTAACCATAATCTATACTTAAATTCCACTGATTACCCCATATTCTCATCTAGTAACATTCTCAACTATTTCTTGTCCCATTGACCAGTTCTTCCCAAGAGCACATAATTGTCTTCTCCTATTTCTTGTATATGATTCAATAGCAGTTATGGTATAAATGAATAAGCGGTGAAGGAGGATAGAAATCCAGTATTAGAATATTAGCTTCATCATTTATTTTATTGACTTCAGGCAAATTAATTCTCCACAGTTTACTTATCTATAATATGAGTGAAAAAGAATCATAGGGCTTTTGAGATCATTAAATGATACAACATATAATAGTGTTTTGCAACCTATAAACTGATATAATAAAAATGGGGTTTTATTATGGTAAGCTTTTCTTCCAAGTCTAATCTCAGTTGACAACTTAGCCCCTCAGGTTACCTCTCATCTTATCATATTTCCCTCACCAGTTGATAGTTCTATGTATCCAGCCCTTCTCTCCCTCATGATAGGATGCTCTTCTCCCACCACAATGAATTAAATCTAAATAATCCTGGTAATGTCATCAATTCAAAACTGTCAAAATTGTATAAGCCCAGGTCTTCAGTCAAAATTACTGTAAGGGATACCTAGCGGCAGATCATAGTTGCTATTTGATACATAGAACAAGAACTCTCAAACTGGAAGCAACTTTTTGATAATATAATATCTCATGATATTTTAACATATCTATCTTATGTAAGAATCAATGATATCCTTCAAAAAATTTTTTTCCTTTACATTCATTATGTGACTTCTTAATTTTAAGTTTCTATATTGGACTTGACAGTGACTTAGTCATAAAATTACCTTAGGAAGACTATTTCCCTGTGGACTCAAGAAAATGAAGAGAAAATTATCACTATATTTAAATAGCAATAAGAGATAATTCATGGGAAAAATCAAGGGGGAATATTACTTGTTTAACTAGGGGTAGCATAACTAATTATTTAAAAGTCAGATTTTGATTATTCCCATTCCTCAGAATAACATTTTTGGCTGACTTAAATATGACCAATTGCTTTCCTTAATTTTCCCTTTGTCTTACAAGTGACAACTGAAATGGCAAAATTATAGAGACATAAGATCAAGACATTGAAAAATCTCAATTCCTGCTTTATGAAATTTAAAGATAAACATAGGGCTTTCCTCACATTGTCTTCTGAATGAAAACTTCCTTTTCATTGTGTAGGCAACAGATTAAACTTTAAGCTAAAGCTGGTTTTAAAATTTTGCAAATGAGAGATTACTGAGCTAAATTAAAATCCTACTAAAATCAAAATGGGCATCAACTTTCTAATGATAATTTAAAATCACAATCCTAGGCAAATCGGTAGTCTAACCCCCTCTTCTTTTTGACATAAATGTTAGTGACATGGTTGATCTAACAGCAAACTTCAAAGAAGCTCAAACATATTATCAGAAAGAACAGTTTAGCATAAGCTATGTTAATGTGGATTAAAGATGTTAGACCTGGCAGGCAACACCAACAATTAGCAATACTAAATAAACTCATGCTTTGAAGCTAATTCACGTATGCTTTGAAGCTAATTCACTTTAATAAATTCTTAAACAGTACAGATCTACTCAGAAAAAAATGTTCCTCAGAGCTATCTTGAGAAGTTTATGATTGAAATGATAAATAACTAACAATTGCCCTTAAGAATTATCAATAGCTAACACTTGCACAACTCATCTCTTCTATTTTAAAAGAGTAGAATTTGGTGTCTCTTTAAATACCTAAGAAATAGAAGAGATTTAGTGCCAAGACAGGGCATGAAATGAAACTCTGTGTTCTCTTTTAACGTAAGAATTTTAGAATGGTCACACCTAGCCCAGCCTGCGTGGCTTAGTGGTTGAGAGGCAACCTTTGTACCAGGAGGTCACAAATCGATTCCCAATCAGGGCACAATGCCCAGGTTGTGGGCTCAATCTCCAGTAGGAGGTGTGGGAGGCAGACCAATGATTCTCATCATTGATGTTTTTATCTCTCTCTTCATCTGAAATCAATAAAAAAATTTTTAAATAGCCACAACTATTCTATATAATAGAAACCTAATATGCAAATTGACCATTACTCCAACACACAAGATGGTCACCCACATGTGGTCAAAGATGGCCAGCCCCATGTGGATACAAGATGGCTGCCACAAGATGGCCAGCAAGGGAGGGCAGTTGTGGGAGGCCAGGACTGTAGGGGAGGCCAGTTGAGGGTTACCAGGCTTGCAAGGGAGGGCACTTGGGGGTGACCAGGCCGGCAGGGGAGGGCAGTTAAGGTTAATCGGGCCAGAAGGGGAGCAGTTAGGCGTCCATCAGGCTGGCAGAGGAGTGGTTATGGAGTGATTAGGTTGGCAGGCAAAAGCGGTTAGGCAGGCAGGTGAGTGGTTGGGAGCAGCAATCATGGATTGTGAGAGGGTTGTCTGACTGCCCGTTTAGGCCCGATACCATCAGATCTAAACGGGCAGTTGGACATCACTCGAGGGGTCCCAGATTGGAGACGATGCAGGCTGGGCTGAGGGATACCCTCCCACCCTGGTGCATGAATTTCATGCACTGGGCCTCTAGTATTTCATATAAGAGTAGTTCAAAAGAACAAAAATTATGTGAACTATACATTTATAAATAAACATTTGCTTTTCCAACTTACCTGTGGTAAGGATTCTAATAAATCTATAGATCCAACACCAGAATGGAGAACATGATTCTGAACTGTCATAGGTTGAAAACTTGGTGATTGAGAATAAAGTCTGACTCTTGACTTGAAAGCTTCAAGTTCATTTTTGAATGCTTCAAAATAACCTTCTTCCTCTGCCTAGAAAACAGAGAACATAAAGACTGTTTTTAAAGACTTCTAGACCACACAGTAAATTCTAACAAGCATATATTAGGTATGAAATAGAGGAAGTAAGATGAGGTGAATAGTTTAAATGTAGAAACCACCAAGTTTCCTGTTAGATTTGTGAAAACTTATTGTTTTATAAAACAAATGATCACTTTTAAAGATACACAAATATAAAAAAAGAAAGTAGACTTTTCCCCCCCCTTGATTTATCTGAATTCTTGACAAGATTCAAAATAGTCCTAATTTATCTTCTCACATTCTCCTCCTCTTCCCATTGCCAAACAACAATCAAAGAAACTTTTTAAAATCTTATAATTCTCCACCAAATAATAAAGGGACACTATTACCTGTCTCTAGTGATTCTCTGATTCTATATTCCTTATCTGTAAAAGTTATGAAAACCAAGTAAGACTCAACACAGAATTGAATTATGAAAATATTTTAGTGTTTTAGTTAAGCAAGTACCTTTTCCCCTGACATTATAGAAAGAGTTAAGTACAATGAGTTGATTGAGGTATAATATGAGCAAAATTCCAATACAAAATATCCTGTTGGAAATAGCCTCCATTTATAAATGTTTCCATTGCAGATCAAGAATGACACAGTGCCAATTCTACACTAACAGAACACAGGCTTTAAGTTTAAGTGGTGGAAGAGATTTTGTCAGTCTCATTCCTTAATATCACTGGGCCCATGTCTGCAATGCTATTTTTAATACATTTTTATTTAGACAGAGAGAGAGAGAGAGAGAGAGAGAGAGAAACATCAGTGAGAGAGGAATATCATCAATCGGCTGCCTCCTACACACACCCCTCTTGGGGATTGAGACCACAATGCGGATATATGCCCTGACCAGGAATTGAACCAGCAACCTCTTAGTTCCTGGATCGATGGTTAACCAGAGCCAAACCAGCAGGGTAATGCTATTTTTTAAAAAATGTAGTTTATGTTGTATAAGTAGATTAAAACCTGTGGATTAGTTATCAGTATCAATATCTATACAGATAATGCAAAAAATGTTCTATACTGCCATTCTATTTTTAAAAAAAATATATTTTATTGATTTTTTACAGAGAGGAAGGGAGAGAGATAGAGAGCCAGAAATGTCAATGAGAGAGAAACATCGACCAGCCGCCTCCTGCACACCCCCCACCGGGGATGTGCCCGCAACCAACATACATGCCCTTGACCAGAATCGAACCTGGGACCTTTCAGTCCACAGACCGACGCTCTACCACTGAGCCAAACCGGTTTCGGCCATTCTATCTTTTTACAAATAGAACTATTTAAGTCTATTATAGCATTTCACCTTGGCCAATATATGGTATTTGTGTGGACATACAGAATGTTAGTCATTATATCCCCAAAATAATCTTTCTGAAATAGTTATGCAACAAACTATTAAAGGAATCAAGTAACACAATTGCTGGTCTTTCTGCATGCCTAAGACCTAGGAATTTAGATCTAGAGAGATTTGATTGATTTTTGTTTTATTAAGTAACCTATGGGTGACTTACTTAATTCTATGCTAATTTCCTCACTTGTAAAAGAGAATAAGCCTCGCCCTAACCGGTTTGACTCAGTGGACAGAGCGTCAGCCTGGGGACTGAAGGGTCCCAAGTTCGATTCCAGTCAAGGGCATGTATCTTGGTTCCGAGCACAACCCCAATAGGGGGTGTGCAGGAGGCAGCTGATCGATGTTTCTCTCTCATCGATGTTTCTAATTCTCTATCCCTCTTCCCTTCCTCTCTGTAAAAAAATAAAAAACTAATGAGTTTGCTGACCACTGTCATATACTACCCTTTACCTCTTTGTACACAATATGCCACAATTGCCTAATCCTCAAAGCTTCCAACTACACGGTAACATTTAGTCTACCAGTGGTCGGCAAACTCATTAGTCAACAGAGCCGCAGTTTGCTGACCACTGGCCTAAGGGAACTTTGGGATAACACAAAACAAAACAACATCCTCAAAATAGGGGTGCCAGAAGGAGAAAACTGAGCAAGAAATAGAAAAACTGATGAAATAATGACAGAAAACTTCCCTGTCATTATTATAGGGAAGGAAAACTCACACAAGTCCAAGAAGCTCACAAGAGTTTTAAACAAAATGAACCCCAAAAGGCTGACGCCAAGGCACATTGTAACTAAATTGGCAAACACCAATGACAAAGTAAGAATCTTAAAAGCGGCAAGAGAGAGACAGAAAGTTACCTACAAAGCAGCCAGAGAGAGACAGACTAGTGACTGATTTCTCACATCAGGCCAGAAGGGAATGGAATGAAATATACAAAGTCATGCAAAGGAAGGGTCTGAATCCAAGAATATTGTACCCAGCAAGGGTATCAACCAAAACTGAGGGTGAAATCAGGAGCTTCACAGACAAATAAAGGACTAAAGGAGTTTATCACCACCAAACCAGCAATACAAGAAATGCTAAAGTGTCTGCTGTAAAAAATACAAATAGGAAGCGAAGAAGGAACACAAAGGTAAAGAATAAAAATGGCAACAAATACCTATCAATAATAACTTTAAATGTAAATGCATTAAATGCCCCAATCAAAAGACAAAGGGTAGCTGAGTGGATAAGAAAATAAGACCCATATATCTGCTATCTACAGGAAACCCCCTTCAGAAAGAAAGTACTCACACAGACTTATGGTGAAGGAATGGAAAAAGGTTTTCAGGTGAATAGAAATGAAATGGAAAAAAAAAAAAAAAAAAAATATATATATATATATATATATATATATATATATATATATATATATCTAGTAAACATATATGCACCCAATACAGGAGCACCCAAATACATAAAAAAAACTTTTGGAGGATATCAAGGAAGAGATTGACAGCAATACAGTCATAGTAGGGGACTTTAATACCCACTAACACCATTGGACAAATCCTCTAAACAAAAAAATCAGCAAAGAAATATCAATCCTAAATGACACACTAGATCAGATGGAATTAATTGACATCTTCAGAACATTTTACCCCAAAAACACAGAATATACATTCGTCTCAAGTGCACAAAGGTCATTTTCAAAAATAGACCATATACTGGAATGCAGGCAAAGTCTCTTCAAATTCAAGAAGATAGAAATCATATCAAGCATCTTCTCAGATCACTATGGCATAAAACCAGAAATCAATTACAATAAAAAAAAACCCACACACACACCTGGAAGCTAAATAGCATGCTATTAAACAATGGGTTATCAAAGAGATCAAATAAGAAATAAATATGTCTGATTGTTATTTATTTCATGGAAGGAAAGCACTATACTGCTGCTCTAGGACAGTGATCGGCAAACTGCACTCGTGAGCCACGTGTGGCTCTTTGCCTCTTTAGTGTGGCTCTTCTACAAAATACCATGGCCTGGGCAAGTCTATTTTGAAGAAGTGGTGTTAGAAGAAGTTTTAGTTTAAAAAATTAGGCTCTCAAAAGAAATTTCAAAAATTAGGCTCTGTTGACTAATGAGTTTGCCAATCACTGCTCTAAGGCATCAATAATTTTCATAAGTGTGAAGAAGTCCTTATGGTCTCAGGACTTCTTCACACTTATGAAAATTATTGAGGAATCTAAAGATCTATGTGGAGTAATTCTATTAATATTTACTATGTTAGAAATTAAAAATGAAGAATTTAAAAAATATTAACTAAAACATAATAAACTCATTACATGTTAACATTTATAACATGTTTTTTAAAAACTGCCCTGGCCTGTTTGCTCAGTGGTTAGAGCATTGGCCTACAGACATAAAGGTTGAGGGTTTGATTCCCAGTCAAGGGCATGTACCTCAGTTACAGGTTCCCCACCCCCAGTATGGGTGCATGCAGAAGGCAACCAAACCAATGGGTCTTTCTCACATCGAAGTTTGTTTCCCCCCTCCCCCTGCCTTTTATCTCTTTCTCCTTCCTCACTTCCTCTCTCTAGAAATCAATGAAAAAAATATCTATGGGTGAGGAATAAAAACAAAACTATTTTCAAAACAAAAAAATTAGTGAGAAGTCTAAATTAACAAAAGATAGCTAGAGTCACATTTCTTCTTCTGAATCAATCTCTACTGCATTCATGAAAGTAAAAATGGTAAATAACATGTTAGTATTAACATTATAATGACAGTTTTTACCCTGGGCCTCCTGAAAGGCTATTACTAGTAAAAACCCATGAGTGTCCTTGGACTACCTATTGAGAAATTATTCTCTAGCATATATACCTAGGAGCATTTACGGACATAAGTATTTGTTCAACTTTACAAGGAAAAGTTCCAAGGTTGTTATAGCAATTTATATTCTCACAGGCAGTGAATGCAAATTCTTATTGGTCTATTTCTTGTACAATTTGCTAATTTACTAATCTACTGAGTGTGAAATGGTACTTAATCTTTCTAGACATATCTATTTTTCTTTAACATGGCCAACATAAATACATATCACTTCTTTTGACTTTATAGCAAAGCATTATCTCAGATTAAAAATTCTTCAAAATATAATTTTAGTGGCTGCATAATATTTTATAAACTAGTTTGTTTTTAGCCATTCCTCTGTGTTGCATTTTTAAAGTTGTTTCCTATTTTTTCATTACAAAAGTCTGACATCTCATTAAGCTTTAAGTTTTAAACATGGACTTATCTGTATCTATTTCATTCTACACTGTATCCTTAGCCTCTTAAACAGCTATACTTTTGCATTAATAGTTACTCAATATTTACTGAATGAATGAAAGAATATTCTAATTTTCCTGAATACATATACTTGTAAAATTAGCATAAAATCAGCAATATAATTTTTCTTTCCACTATAAAATCTACAGAATTTAGCCTGTGGCATCCTGGCTGAATAGCTTCCTTTGATGTATATGGATCAAAGAGGTCTCATCTAAGGCCTAACATTCCCATTTATAATACCAAGTAGCTACTTACTTTGGCTTTCTGGAAAAATAAACGAAAACACCCTCTTGGATCCACATTACAGTTTTTGGCCATTTCCATAATAAATTGCATTACAACAGCTTGATGTGCTATTTGTTCCATTAGTGCCCCTTTCTGAAAATAAATAGATTAAAATGATAAGAAATACCTTTGGAAATATATTTTAAAAGGTTTACAGTATATGGGAACAAGAGAGATAGGGGCTCAGGGGAGGCATACCAGAAAAAGATTTCCAGGTGCTAACTGAAAAAACTAAAAAAATATTCTCACAGTAATTCAAGTAAATCTGAAAGCAAAAACAAAAAGTATAATTCCATTTAATGACCCTCTTACTTTAAAGTAATATTAAAAAACAAACAAGGATATCAGAATTCTCCTAAGATTCCCAGAAATTCAAAGTTCACAATACCTGTTCAGCTTCTAAATGAAAACACCATAAAATAAGATATTTAGCAGTTTCTTCACATACAAGATATGGATGGTCAGATAAAAATCTCTGACTATCATCCCATCGACTCAACATACCTGTAAAAAAAGAATTAAACCATGAATATCAAATACTTTCTTCTTATAAGTGAAGCAATGGTATCTTAAAATGATTATCTTTAAAGACGATTCATATTACCACAGCAATATGTTAGGTAAAAGAGCAAATGAAGAGGAATAAATTCTTTTACAGCAATATGCAGTATATTGGAAATAATTTCCAAAATTCACAGAAAGGTGTTTTTATCCAGATAATTATCAGACTTAAGCTGAGTAGTTGGTTTAAAGCCCAAACTCCTATATCTGGGGCATGCCCGAAGTCCCGGGCAAAGTGAGATGGCTGGTCATGTAGTAAAAAAAGATTTTAAGAGACTCAACAGGGGTGGGAGAGGTGGGGGGTGTCCCTCAGCCCAGCCTGCACGCTCTCCAATCTGGGACCCCTCAAGGATGTCCTATTGCCCATTAGGATCAGGCCTAAACAGACAGTCAGGCATTCCTCTCACAATCCAGGACTGCTGGCTCCCAATTGCTCGCCTGCCTGCCTTCCTGACTGCCCCTAACCTCTTCTGCCTGCCAGCCTGATTGCCCTTAACTTCCCTCCCCTGCAGGCCTGGTCACCCCTAACTGCCCTCCCCTGCAGGCCTGGTAACCCCTAACTCCCCTCCCCTGCAGGCCTGGTCCCTCCCAACTGCTCTCCCTGCAGGCCTGGACCCCCCCAACTGCCCTCCCCTGCAAGCCTGGTCACCCCCTAAATGCTCTCCCACAACTGTCCTCTCTTGCATGCCTGGTCCCTCCCAACAGCCCTCCCATACTGGCCTAATTGCCCACAACTGCCCTCCCTTGCATGTCTGGTCCCTCCCAACTGTCCTCCCCTGCTGGCCATCTTTTGGTGGCCATCTTGTGTCCACATGAGGGCAGTCATCTTTGACCACATGGAGGCAGCCATTTGGTGTGTTGGAGTGATGGTCAATTTGCATATTACTCCTTTATTAGATAGGACAGAAGCCTGGTACACAGGTGGGGACTGGCTGGTTTGCCCTGAAGGATGTCCTGGATCAGGGTGGGGGTTCCCTAGGGGCATGTGGCAGCCTGTGGTGGTTTGCAGGATGGCCACGCCCTCCGGTGACCCAAGAGGAGCCCTGGCATCTGGGATTTATTTATCTTCTATAATTGAAACTTTGTAGCCTTGAGCAGAGGCCAGAGCGGGTGGAAACCTTGGCTTCCTCCACTGCTGGGGCAACCCAAGCCTCCTGCTCTCTCCAGCTCTGTGGCCTCCACCATATTTGTTGGGTTAATTTGCATACTCACTCCTGATTGGCTGGTGGGCATGGTTTGTGGGTGTGGCAGAGGTATGGTCAATTTGCATGTTTCTCTTTTATTAGATAGGATAATAGACTACATTTGCTGCTCTTCACAATTAGGTTTAGTCTGTCAGTACATTTCTGTTATTAAATGCCCTCCCCCTACCACACACACACACACAGACACACAAACGAAGCATCTAAAACAAGCACTGTACAACTATGCCAGAAATAATGACATAACTGGAATTTGTTACTTATCATCTTTTTGGTTCCCATTTTATAAATCCATCTTTTGTACACATATTTACATTAAATATTATAGAAAAAGGTAATTCAAACAGTAGACTTACCAAAATGTCTGATTTTTTGCTCATATTTCTGCATAAATGATTCTGATTTATCTTCATCTTCTGATTCTTTTCCTTTATCTTGATTAATAAAACTCTAAAAAAATTAAGTTAAAATCAGATTTTATATTCTGATTGATCTTTCTCAGATACAGAATGTCTTGCAATCTTTCCTACAGATACTATAAATAGGTGGTAAAATCTTATACTGATATTATATCATTAAATTCATGTGTTAAACTCTATTAAATAATTAAAATTTACTTATACTGGAGTTTCATTAGTTTTATTTAATATGATATATGAAAAAATTATAGAATTACTTTAGAAATTATACAGAAAAACGAATGAATCTTTTTGTTAAACTAATTTTCCATATTAAAGGTAGGTATAGAAATATCCTTTAATGCATCATTTATGTTTCGCTTTACTCATTCCCATTAAGTATCTGCAACTCTAGACCAGTGATTTTCAACCTTTTTCATCTTATCACATACATAATAAACTATTAAAATTCTGTGGCACACCAAAATATATATTTTTTGCTGATCTGACAATAAAAATAAGATACAACTTTGATTTTTTACAAAATAAATAAATACCCTTTTTTCTTTCCAAATGACTTTAAAAATTTAGGTGCCCTTGCACCCTCTCTCCTAGGAGCATGCCAGCCCTTCCCATCCCCCTTTTCTTTCTTTACAGACATGATTTCCTAAACTCGTAAGGGACACCATGAGGCTTGCAATCAGTGCAGCAATGGGCAGTGGCAGTTCATCCCAGGCAAACCCCTGAACCAGTCCTCATAGCCACCTTGTCTCTTTTTTCTTCTTCTTCTTTTTTTTAATGCTCACCTGATGATATTTTTCCATTTCTTTTGAGAGAGTGGAATAGAGAGAGAAGCATCGATGTGAGAGACACACATCGACTGTTGCCTTGAGCATGTACCTTGACCAGGTTTGGGGAGCAAACTCAAAACCCAAGTATGTGCTCTTAACCAGGAATTGAACCCAAGACTCTTTGTGTGCTGGCCAATGCCCTAACCACTGAACACACTGGCCAGGGCTTTTCTGACTTCTTGGTGAGCTAAAGCAGTTCAACCTAAGCTTATTTCCCCAGCCCTTCCTTGTTTCATTGCCCCTAGCTTTAATAAACATCCTCTAAAATAAAATTTAAAAAAAATTCAGGCACCTAAATTTTTATGTAAGGACTAGAGGCCCAGTGCATGAAATTGATGCATGGGTAGGGTCTCAGGCCTGGCTGGTGATCAGGGCCGAATGGGGCCTTCTGGTTGCCGGCCAGGGTCTTCCTTCCAGCTGCTGACCAGGGTCTCCCTTCATTCCGTGCCACCTCCTGGTGGTCAGTGCACGTCATAGCAAGCAATCAAACTACAGGTCAAACTCCCGGGAGAACATTTGCATATTAGGCATATATATATAAAATATTTCTGGTACCAAGAGACACCTTATTATGTGATATGACCAATAAGATGCAACTAACTATTATATGACCTATATATATTTATGGTTCAAGACATACCAGACAGCTATAGTTGTTTTGGCTATTGTCATTTTTTTTTATAATCTAAGAGAAAAGAGGTCAGTGTCCCTATCTAAATAGTAAGGTACTGAATGTTTTAAAAATTCTTACGGTTGAAAGTCACTGCTCTAGATTAATCTTTGGAGCTCTTGCTGAATATAAATCCCCAAATTCAAAGTATATAGAAAACAAAATATAGCCAAGACCGGTTTGGCTCAATGGATAGAGCGCCGGCTTGGGGACTGAGGGGTCCCAGGTTCGATTCCGGTCAAGGGCATGTACCTTGGTTGCGGGCATATCCCCAGTAGCGGGTGTGCAAGAGGCAGCTGATCGATGACTCTCTCTCATCGATGTTTCTAACTCTCTATCTCTCTCCCTTCCTCTCTGTACAAAATAAAAAAAAAAAAATTATATATATATATATATATATATATATATATGAAAGAAAACAAAATATATTTATTAGAATTCTTTGATAAGACACAAGCCTAAAATAGACCTTTGTTGTAAACATTTTTTAGATGAAGTCAAACAGATTCTGAAATCAAGTACAAATTTATATTTAAGAAGTGCTTATTTTTTATGAAATAAGACATAAAACAGACCAAAATGAAGTTTGTATTTGGCCAGAAAAAATGGCAGATAATTTCGCAGTACATTCTGTGGTTGCATTTAAACCTTGAGATCACCACTGCCAAAAATGAAAATTGCAAACTAGCTCCCAGGCAGTTTATTAATAAGCACACAAGTTCATGTATTTCAAAATGAAAGCATCTTTTCTTTATATACTCTGCTATCTAGACCAGCACTGTCCAGTAGAAATATAATCCATCACAAATATAATTTAAAGATATCTATTAGCCACATTTAAAAGCATAAAGAAACAGATAAATAACATTAATTGAACCCAACATATCCAGCATATAATTTCAATAGGTAAGCAATACAAGAAATTAATGAAATATTTTACTTCTTTTGGTACTAAATCATTGGAATCCGGTGTGTATTTTACACTTACAGCAAATCTCAATTCGGACTAGCCACATTTCAAGCTCTCAATAGCACATGTGGCTAGTGGCTATCGAGTTGGACAGCGCAGATCTAGACCAATCCTCTCAAGTCTCAAGCTCCCAGACAAAATCAATGTGTGATTTTGAGCAAATGACTGGAACATAAAAATAGTCCTAATTAATGTGTGGTATAAAGGTAGGCCTTGTTAAAACCTAAGTTTAAAAAAAACAATTAAAAGGAGAGACAAATGAAAATTTGTGACCACTGTATTAAGAGACATTAACTTTATAATACAAAGAAACATTATTTCGACCATTCTCTCTGGAAGAAGAAAATTATTTTTAATAGTTTAGGGTATAAATGCAAACCAGAAATAAAATAACACTTTAGAAGACATACCCCTTACAACAATATATACTAACATAGCAAACTATTAAGATGAAGAGTGATCCCATTGTGGGGGAGGAAAAATATATAAATTACTACAAGTACAAAAATAGTTAGAAAGATATAACTTACTGTTATCAATGTTACCTCTGTGAAATGTAACAGCTAGTGAAGGAAGCCTTACAATTCTATTTTACATATTTACGTGTTTGTTGTTTTTTACAAAAAGCATGTTGCTGAATTCATAATTTTTCTGAATTAAAGAATAAAGTACTGATAGTGCTAGTGGTATTATTTACCTATGTATATTACTTATTGCTGTAGCAGAACTAGAGCTGATATAGGGGAAGGATATTAAGAGTTCTCAAAAGGGTGTGCTGAGAGTGAATGCCAGAACAGAAACAAGTAACTATAGATTGAGAAGTCTAAAGAATAATGACAGTTAAAGATAAATTAATGTGAACTTAGACAAGAATGAGCAGTCTATCCTTGAAGCTTGAAAAGGTTAGTAAAAATACAAAGAATACTTTACATACTAGTTGAGAATGACTGGCATTCATTACCCATATCTATTTCAGATATAAAAGTCAAAGAATAAAGCCTACATAATCCAGTAGAAATAGAAAACCTCTCTTAATAAACTACTAACTTGGCATAAATAATATACAAGTCCTTTCACTACTAAAAAAAAAAAAAAATAAACAGTGGTAAAAACTTTATTTAGTAAATCCAGCAACTGTACATTAGTGTTACAAAACTAATAGCAAACTTATGACACAGCAACATTAGAAAGCGCTTGTAAAACCTTAGCTTTACCACCTGATAGGCCCCATGCTACTTGCTTTTAAGACATTACCCTATTTAGTCTTCATACCAATCCCATAAAGTTGAGGAAACTGAGACTTAGATATTATGTGACTTGCCCAAGGAACCAACAAGCATGTGACAAAGCTAAGATTTGAGGCATTCTGATTCCAGAGCCTACACTTATATTCAGGTGCTATGCTGCAGCCATATATTTGTATTAAGAACTATCCACATTAGACACAACTGGGAATTCAGGTTTCTATAACAAGCACTTTTCATAAGCTGTCAAAAACAAATACTGATTATAGGATTCTGTTGTTTTGCTACCAAATATGCACAAAGGTTTGTACAAATACTGTTCTTTTCTTCTTTGATTACAGTGCAAAAAAAAAGGTCATACCTTATTAAAAACATCCTTGCTAATGGTATCCACATTCCATAGACACATTCTCTCTCTTTGTACTAGAGCCTCTTCTTTCTGCCGCCATTCTTCTTCGCGTTGCCTCAGTTCTGATACTGCTGTTTGTGCCTTGGCATGTTCCTGATCCAAGGACTCAGAATTATGCAGTGCTAAGCTACCAAGTTTCTGCTGAGCTTCAGCAAGGTTCCATTTGCATGCCACAGAGCTCTTCACAAACTCTTTCTGCTTTTGGCAAGCCATTTCAATCCCATGGCTATACATCTGGATGAAAAATAATCTTTGTAAGAAAGAAGAAGGCATTGGGAATGTTCAAACAGCACAGTTCAATTTTCTTTTAGTCAAGAATTTCTGTACAATGTTTCTGGTGCATAGGTATCCTAACCTTCTGTGTATGCAGTTACATTTTAATATTACGGGCCTTGCTTCATCAACTAGACTCTACCAGTAAGCTTTTTTTAATCTGTGCCTCTCCCCAAAAAACTAACAGCAACGAGAAGCCTGGCAACTAGCACAGATAAACAGTAGCTGGTGTACAATAAACATTTGTTTTAGTCTTTATCATCTGAAATAGCAGAAAGAGAATAAAAGCTTAAATCTAGTTCTTCAACTTATCACTCAACATGCTAAAAACCAGACCTTTAGAATTTTACTCAAGTTATTCATTGCAAAAAACCTTTTATTTAAAAGTAATGATTTATTAGTTTCTAATTTCCTTCTGTATTATCCAAATCCTTGGCAATCTGAGTTCTTATTGGCAATTTCTATTTATAACTTGCCATATCAAATAGATACCCTTTAACTTAATCCTAATCAAAACAGGTAAAGTTATTTAAAAAGCCAACTGGCCCACTCTGGTGATTCTGTTCCCAGTCAGAAGTAATAGTAATGAGCTTTAATATTTTTACATGAGATGGGTGCCTCTATTCTACAGCTGTATAAAATGAGTTGAAGGCACATTCTATATGATTTCTTGGCCAAAATGTAGATCAATATTAAACTAGAAATTCAGAGTAATTTTATTCCAATCTGTTCCCTTATTTGCATCACTATTATATAAATACACCCTTTCTCATCTCAAGCCATTCTCTTCTCTGCTAGACCTGAGTGATCCCTCCAAAAACTAAATCTGATCATTTTACTCATTCTTAAGAGTCTTGGGGAAAAGTGTAAACTCTGTGACATGGCATTGTTCCTCATGATTTCACTCCCTATTATCTCTCTGGACTTGGTTTCAGTTTGTTTTCAGTTTTGCTTATTCTTTTCCTCCACCCCTTCAATGTGGCAACCCCCTTCCCTCATGCCCCACCAAACTCCTACCTCCAATCCAGGTTCTGGCATTACATACCTCAATTTTCTCTCATCCCTTCCCCCTCCACCCAAGTTATGCATACTTCCATAGTGGTGTTTTCACACAACATTGTGCTTATTTGTTTGACCAACACTCTGCTTCTTTAGGAGCTAGAATAACACATCTTAGCTGAATAAATGACTCTTCACTTCATGGAATAGATTAGTGGTGGTAAAGAATTCTGAGGCAAGTAGCATGTAAGGTCCCTACTTGCTACACGAGTCTTCAAGGCAAACTTAGATTTCTATTGGGGCAAATGTGGGCATTGTTGTTATTCAGATGTTTTACTTAATTATTTAGCAGGTTCAGAGCCCAGGCACCACATGACTCTAACCAATTAAAGTGTTATTTTTATTTTTTGCTATCTTAGAATAGAATCAAGAAGTGCAGACTAGCTATGCTTTAAGGAGGAGCCAGGAAAAGAAAATTTAAGCTATAAAATTTATACTGTAAGAAAAGACAAAGATATACTAAGGAAAAAGATATATACAAAGAGATAGAGCATTTTCAAATTATGTGATAGCAAATTTTCAAGTCATTTCTTTTCTTTTTTTTTTGTTTTGAATTTTTGTAAGATTTTATTTGAGCCAAACTGACAACATATGCTGGGGACCAAGACCTCAGATGCTTAAGTAATTTTTTTTTTTTATCCATTTATTTCTTCTTACATAGGAACTGCTAACAATGGGACAGGAGTCAGGTCTAGTTGAATGTTGTGACTACTTGGGTGTCTGAGCTGCAGGTGATGCGAGCAATCTTAAGTAATTTCTTAAACATAGAAATCTTATCTCTAAATTCTAAAATTGATTTATGTTTAAATTCTTCTCCACAGACTATACAGACATTTGGGTATTTGAACAAACTATGAACCTGTATTGAGATGACTAAATAAAAAGTCATATTTTATCTGTGAACATATTGAGATTTTAAAGGGACATTCAACATAAATTCAATTAACACAAAATTGAAAAGGAAACTTGAACATTAAGTCTATCTTTAAATTCCAATGTTATATATGATGTATAATATTACATCCAGGATTAGACATCATATATAACACTAAGATGTCTAGATTCCCCAAATTCCATAAAATTGAACCAAAGGTATTTTTATAAAGATTGTACAATGTTTACAAATTGAATTAAACATTTTATTCTTTCTGAATATTCCAATCCAAAAGGTAAATCCTAAAGCCAGCAAGACAAATAAACAGGTTATAACATGTGAACTAATTTAGGATTAGTAGTCACTTTACAAATATTAACAGCATTCAAAGGTAGTTTCAGCCAAATAGTTTTACATTACATCACAGGATGGGCACTGCAGTAGGTGGGGGAAAATGAACTGTACTGAGAGTGAATTTTGGTTTTAATTTCTACCACTAACAAGCAACATGATCTCAGGGAAATAATTTTTCATTAAGGAGACAAGGCACTTTGCTTCTAAAATCCATTTCTGCTAAATAAGCTTATAAACCCAAGTGTATGAGCAAAAATTAAAATAAGAGTTATTTTTTAAATTAAGTTTCTCTTAGGTTACTCTTGGGATTCAACCACAATGCACTAAAATTCTTCTTCTATCCTCTCCATATGCCTTCAAAACTGACGATGGCAGCTGCTGTTCATTCTTTTTTCCTCTCTGTAACACATTCATTATGCAGTTACATAACACACTTTGTATACAAAGATGACACCAGTGACCCATAATTAGAGGGTGAGTACTGACCTATCAATTCTCACTCTGTCCTCCTAAAAAATGTCTCGCACTTTCCCAGTGACTGGCTGGCCAAAGTACAGTCTGTGTTATGAAACAGCATTTTTCTCGTTCTGAAGCCAACTCCGTGAGCTGGGCATAGGATCGACAACCCTACTGTTAGTGACAAACGACGCAAATGGCTCGTTTTGGTTAACAGCTTACAAGATGAGTCTAGAGAAAAACTGTATTAGTTCAATTAAGCCCTTAGGGATTCCATTCTGCACGAAACCTAGAAAGCAGATACCTATAAGTGTCCAGTCTGCGATCCTGTAATACACGTTCAAAACACACTCGGGTTAGGAGAAAAACCAGGACAAGATGATATGCGTATGCAAGCCCTTTATTAAGAAAAAAATCCTAAATGGTACATCACATGTAGATAAAGTTTCAGAGGGAGGAATGCTGGGGTGAAAACCACACGCAGCATCCATCAGGAATCCCAGGAAGAAGTTTTAATAAGCAAAAGTAAAAAACGTGTGAGCCTCTGTGTGTGTGTGTGTGTTTTGTTTGTTTGTTTTTTTGTTTTTTGCTGGAGAATGATGTGAAGCAAAACTAAAAAAAATAAAACAACCGTAAGGGGTAAAATGGTCACGCGAATGGGAGAGATGGAGGCCAGCCTCCAACGCGACATTGAATTTGTTTTCAGATGTCACACCCGTAAATGTGGATAGAGAAACCTTTCTAAGTAAGGGGCTCAGCGAATTGCTGGAATGCCACCGGTTACTGTTCCTAATGATGAACTATTGCCCACACACACATAAGAACCTTCCAACAGAACAAAATGCTCGGATAAAGCCACGCACCAGAGGACAAAGGGTCAATGTTACCGCACGCTGAGCCGCCCCCCAATCTAGGGTGCTGTCAGGAGAGGGTTCTGGGGGGGAAAGAAGGGAGGGACGTCTTTCAAGGGGTGAGGAAGTACCAGCCAAGGTGAAGGGGCGTGGGGAGAGGCGGAGGTTAGACACGCAGGTCCAGCCCCGCTTCCCCGCCTTCAGAAGATGCTCCCATAGCGGGGCGATGGCACCGGGCGCTCGGCCCCAGCGGGTGAGGTGGCAGCGCAGAGCAGGGCACCCAGCAGGGTCGGGGAGCCGGGGGACTCCGGGAGCCTGGGGACTGCACCTCCCCTTCCGCCCGCAGACAGGGGCCCCCCTTCTCACCTGCGCGCCGCCGCCGCCGCCGCCGCCCGGCAGTTGCGGGCAGCGGGGGGAACTGGGAGACACGTCCAAGTCGCTCTCTTCCTCCGCCTCAGCCTCGGTCCGAGGGAGACTCCAAGGTCCTGGAGGCGGCCATGGCTGCTCCATGCCTGGCTGCCCCGGGCCCTACCGCACACCGACCCGGCGAGAGGGAGAGACCCGCTGCGCCGAGCCAGCCAGCCGCCCAGCCGGCCGGGGCCGTTACCCAGAATCCCTCTGGGAGCTGCGACGCCGACGCACGCCCCACGCTAGGCCGGGCCCCCGCGCCGCCGGCGGACGTCGGAACTCGACGGACGGGATTAGGGACGCTACTTCCGGTCTGAGGGGGCGGGGCCGTGGGAGGAGGTGAGTCCGGGCGGCTGCTGGGTGAGGGCTGGCGCTGGGCGTCCTCATCCTCTTTAAAGCTTGGTTCTCCGCAGTTTTCCTCGCTGCCGACACACTCCTAAGGGCGCTGCGGCGCTGTAAGCAGGGGGTCCTGGGTGCCTGCCGGGTGGTGCTCCGGCCAGGGAGCGTTCACTTGTTTAATATCTGCAACTCATAGCTCTACATTGTGAACGAAGGCGACCAGACGTCCCGCTTTTGGCGGGACAGCCCCGATTTTCAACAATGTGTCCCGCATCCCGCGGCGTTTTATTAATAAAAAAAAGTCCCGATTTTTACAAATCTTTCCAAAAATCGGGCCTTTTTTTTTTTTTTAAGAAGCCGCGGGACAAATTGGTCCCTGAATGTAAACCAGTATTCCTGAAGCGAGGGTCTGGGGTAGAATTTTGAAAAGCAGAGCCAACTTTCCTCTTGTGTAGCGTTACAAGCTGCACGAGTTCTGCGAGGCTTGGCTAAGAGGAAGATGCCAAAAGTGAAGTACTCCACCAAGCTTGGCTTTAAAAAAAAATTTAGACGAGTATCACTGATTGCAAACGCACAGGGAGGGCTTCCTGTATTCCTTCGTATCTCGTTAAATCTTAAAGATTTACTCTCTATAGACCTAAATTGCCCAAGGTTACACACACTAAAGGTAAAAATTAGGATTAGCCTAGTGCAGTGGTCGGCAAACTCATTAGTCAACAGAGTCAAATATCAACAGTACAAGGAATGAAATTTCTTTGGAAAGCCAAATGTTTTAAACTTGAACTTCTTCTAATGCCACTTCTTCAAAATAGACTCGCCCAAGCCGGTGGTATTTTGTGGAAGAGCCAAACTCAAGGGGCCAAAGAGCCGCAGGTGGGTCGTGAGCTGCAGTTTGCCGACCATGGGCTTAGGGAATCTGACTTGAAAACGTGCGCATTCAGCAATCAGGTATTGCTGTCCTCATAATTATAGAGACTCATAAAAAGGAGACATCATTTCCCCCCCAATCTATTAGACTGGCAAACCTTTGAAGTCAGTCAATACAGAGTGTTGACAAGATGTGAGGAAATTCTCTTAGAGAAAATGTTTGTGTAACCTTTTGGGGAGGGGCAATTTAACTATATCAGAAGATTAAGTGCTTTGATTCTGCAATTTCATTACCAGGAAATTATCCAGCAGTTATTTTTGCTCTAATACGCAATGATTTATCTACAATGATTTACTGCAGCATTTTTGTGTGTGTGTGTGTGTGGCAAGAAAAAAAGCCAAACTAAATTCCCATTTGTAGAACTTTACAGTGGGATAGTATCAGTCTTTTAACAATAGTAAAATAGCTGAAACCGGTTTGGCTCAGTAGATTGAGCGTTGGTCTGTGGACTGAAAGGTCCCAGGTTCGATTCCAGTCAAGGGCATGTACATTGGTTGTGGGCACATCCCCAGTGGGGGGGTGTGCAGGAGGCAGCTGGTCAATGATTCTCTCTCATTGATGTTTCTGGCTATCTACCCCTCTCTCTTCCTCTCTGTGAAAAATCAATAAAATATATATAAAAATAAAATAAAAATAGTAAAATAGATATTAATAGACTGGTATAGAAATACTCCCAAAAGGTGTTGAGTTTTTGTTTTAAAAAGCAACTTGCAAAGTTAGTTATATGTGTGGGCATATCTATAGCGGTAGAGAAACAACAATCCAATTTGTGTAAAAGCTGTGTGTGTACAGGTATAGAAAATTCCTAGAGGGCAAACAAGAATTGCTATTGATTACCCCTGGCAAGTAAGGCTGGAAGGGAAGTTTCTGAGAATCATTACTTTTTATTCTTAGCTTTCCTGTATTTATGCTGTTTGAATATTTTCCAATGGGTATCTGTTGTATCTTAATAATTAATTACAAATAAAAGTTGAAAAACTAAACCTTTTAGTTTAGGAGTAGGAGTCACAGGAGAAAATATGACAGCAGATAAAGTACAAAGGGTAAGGAGGCAAAAAGACTTGTATCTTTCATTAAAAAAATAGTTACTTCAAATGAAATTAAAAATATTTCTCAGAAGCTTTCAGTGATTTCCCTGTACATAACATTCACCATAAATAATTACGATTCATTCCCTGGAGCTAGATGATTGCCACCCAAGCAAAACTTGGGTTCCATTCAGCAATGAAGAAAAGCTTACGGTGCTAGGTACTCAATCACATTGCCATAACTGTTTGCATTCCTATAACATCCAGTGCTAGTCTAATTCTTGAGCATCATCTCTTAACCTCCTCTACCTCTTGCCCAGATCTCTGTTGGTATAGTCAGAGGCCTCCTTTTAGTTCCTCAAACAAAACAAATAGTGATACCACCAATTATCAATATCTTTCCTGACCCATGGTCCTTTACATTTGTTGTTTCCTTTTCCTGGCTATCTTTTCTATTAATTCATATATATATATATATATATATATATATATATATATATATATTTTTTTTTTTTTTTTTTTTTTTTTTTTTTTTTTTACAGAGAGGAAGGGGAGGGATAGAGAGTTAGAAACATCGATGAGAGAGAAACATCGATCAGCTGCCTCCTGTACACCCCCTACTGGGGATGTGCCTGCAACCAAGGTAGATGCCTTTGACCGGAATTGAACCTGTGACCCTTCAGTCCCCAGGCTGATGCTGTATCCAGTGAGCCAAACCTGCTAGGGCTCTATTAGTTCTTTAAAATATATGCTAGTGCCGAAATCGGTTTGGCTCAGTGGTAGAGCGTTGGTCTGCGGACTGAAAGATCCTGGGTTCGATTCCGGTCGGGGGCATGTACCTTGGTTGCGGGCACATCCCCGGTAGTGGGTGAGCTAGAGGCAGCTGGTCGATGTTTCTCTTTCATCGACGTTTCTAGCTCTCTATCTCTCTCCCTCTCTGTAAAAACATCAATAAAATATATTTTAAAAATAAAATATATGCTAGTGGTCATGCTTTCCTTTTTAGATCTGAGGTCAAATTGCCATACCCTTAGAGAAGCTGACCTGTCCACTAGGTCTAAATTAGGTTCTTATTCCCTCTCCAACCTGCAACCTTCTATGTCACCCCCTGAGTATTTCCCTCTTAGTATTTTTCATAAGGTACAAGAGCATAGATTGTCTCTCGTTCAGTCTTGTACTTCCATTGTCCAGAACTTAATAAATATATGCTGAAAAGATGAGTAGGGAACTAATGAATAGAAACAAAGATAAAAAGAAAGATATAGCATCAAATAAAGATAAAAGAGGTTAAAAAGGGAATGGAAATGGGTATATTTTGGTAGGAGGAGAAAGGGTAGATATAATTACATCAGAAGTAGTCTCGTTTAAGGTATTGCTGACTTTGGAGCCTGAAGTCTGTACCCAGGTAAAGCATTCACTTTTTAAAAAATAATATTGTTTTTATTGTTGTAAAGTGGACACTTTTTATAAACTTTGGAACTACATCATACTCTTCTACTTTCTTATATTGGATAATATAACAAATTATATTTGTTGGAAATTGCTTTGGGTTATAGTTAATCTACTACTCTCATGCACATAGAACTAGCCAGGAACTCAAAGGAACATATTAGTTTTTCCTGAATAGAAATTACTTTAAAATGGAAGGATATAGACTATGTAGTCCAGAATGCCTAAGGGCAGTCCTTGTGGAAGGGTTTATATGGTATGGTTAAGTAACCATTGAGCCTACAAATGCCAGTGAGGCAAAGCAGAATCTAAAGAGTAACATACGAGTTTGTCTCATGAACTCTAATAAAGTTTGTGAAATATATCCCATGTGTGGGCCCAGATTCCAAATGACTTAAAGATTGTTAAAAGTTGTTCAATTGGCCAAAGCCGGTTTGGCTCAGTGGTAGAGCGTCGGTCTGCAGACTGAAAGGTCCCAGGTTCGATTCCGGACAAGGGCATGTACCTTGGTTGCGGGCACATCCCCGGTAGGGGGTGTGCAGGAGGCAGCTGGTAGATGTTTCTCTATCATCAACGTTTCTGGCTCTCTATCTCTCTCCCTTCCTCTCTGTAAAAAAAAATCAATAAAATATATATTTTTTAAAAAGTTGTTCAGTTTGCAATTTAATTCCCCTTGGAAGCATTCTTGATACTTAGGGAAAATTCTAGAGGTGTATATATACTTAATGAAATACTATTCAATTTACTAGCTCCTTTGTGGACATTCATGCAGAGACCACTCTTCTTATAATACAGTGCTTCTGTTTTTTCCTTAAGTGGGTTCCCTCTGAATTAATTGTAAAGTATTTCACACCACAGTTATCTGCATTTTGAGTGAATAGATCCGTCATATTTTTCTCTTTAAGTGATTTCAGACTTGTATTGAAGGGAATTTCATAGTGATGCCACCAAAAATTCTTTTGATGGGCTATTTTAGGACAGAAGATCTGCATAAGGATATGATTTCTCAAGTACGTGTTAAATATTTTTAAATTGTTATTATATTTTTAAATATACAAAAGTATAGAATAATAGTAATTTCAGATTAACCCAGATGAATAATTATCAAGCTATTGCTACATTTTCTTTATCCATTCCTTTTGTTCATTTCCTAGGGTATTTGAAAACAAATTTTAGACATTAGATCATTTCTACTATATACCTTAATATGTATCTCTAAACAATGTTGATATTTGCCTTAGATTAAACACAAGGACATTATCATACCTATTGTTATTATGTAATACCCAATCCATTATAAAATTTCCTTGATGGTTTCAAATATTCTATTTAAGCTGTGTGTTGTTGTTTTTTTTTTA